ATTCACGCAGGACACCACAGCATAGAGGACAAAATGAGTACTCTACATTGGAATGGGGTTTTGAGCTGAAATATCTATCTTGATGATCATTCGGTGTGGTTTACAGACCTGCCCTTATTAAAACTTAAACCCATGTAGATTCTGAATACCAAGCCCGCGGAGATGGGCAGACTATTTCGTGCAGACTATTTCGAGGTCAGTCAGGCATTTGTGACGCCATAATAACGTCATTCAAATCCTGTCATGTTATTGGCCGTGCGGCGATCAAGGCCAGTAAAATTACAATTGTCGAGTCGGTCATATCTGACGTTCGTATGCAGGCTTTCCAGATGTAACGACCGTCAGTGGGCTCTCAACCAATGCTGTGCAAGACATGACGATGCGATCAAATGGTGACGCGTAGAGGAGCATTTTCACTGAATAAGGAAATGGTGTTGTCTAGAGCAGGCTTTTCTACTTACAGGCGTGCCAATATTTTGTGAGCCTATTTGATAACATCTGATGCTTGCATCAATATCTTCAAATATGGAACATTTCCTTTAATGGCTGATGTAACGCAGCCGAAATTGTTTCTCCGTATAAAATGCAGTGTGAACCAGCTCCATTCAATGCAGGCGCTTCTCCAGCTGAGTGGCTCTAGGATCTTGGCTAATCAGGTGAGCGCAGGCTCAAATCTCCGCAGGATGTTTGGATTTTTCGGGTGCCAAGAACGCAGCTCCTCTTGAGAGGCTCAAATCTCCAACGGCGACCTTGCTACCCTTACTTGCACACCATCTGCCTCGCACGCGCTTGAATCCCTTCAGCCGGGATCGGCCCGCCGAAGACAAATTTTCCGCAGGACCCGGTGCAGTGGAATACCTTTCGCTCGGGGGATCAGCCCTGCCGAAGACAGATTTCCCCGCAGGACTTGATGCATGGAACACCTACGCTCGGAAGACCTGCTGTCAGGAGACCTACACCGTCGGAACACCCACGCACGGAAGACCTATTCCAGCAAGACGTACTATCGGAAGACCTACGTTCGAAAGGCCTGCTGCTATGAAAAGCGATACTCGAAAGACCTACGCCCGGAAGCTCTACGCTGGGAATACCTTCGCCGAGAAGACTTTCATCGGAAACACCCATTTCATGAAAACCTTCCGATGGTGCCCGTTTACTGAGGTAAAGAATTCCAGGAATGATGCCCGAATATGCGAGCAGCTGCCCAGCCCCTCCCATCTCCACCCTCAACATCAGCGCGTGGCGGGACGCAGTGAATACAGAGCAAAATCAAGCCGAACTGGGTAGACTGAAAAGCTGCCTGATGGTCCGTGGATTTAGACGTCTGATGCAGTGTACAGCGACAGGGGCAAATTACATTGATTGAGCTCGCTCCTTTTTTCATGTTCATTGTCGCCTTGAACTGCGTCAGGAGAGCTCGAACCGAGCAGACTTGAATCGCCGCCGGACGATCAAGCCAGATCGTGCGGCTACACTCCACGCCGCCCGAGAAGTCACCCGAAGGACAGCGCCTGGCGTCCCCACGCGGCACGTGCGTGGCGGCTAGCGGCCGGTGTCGCAAGCTCAGCGCAGCAGTCGGCTGATGATGATGGCGCGCATTGTCCGCGCCGGATGCGTCGCCGGCGCGGCGCCACCGCCGCCGCCGCCTGTCGGCCTCGTTACACCTCGGCTGGGCGCCAGCGCCTCCGGCCATTAACCCGAGTGGGCCGGATCGGCTGTCTGAGTGACGGCCCTGGATACCAGCTCTCCATGGCGGCCCGTGTTTGCCAGGTGTCGCCGGTCGCAGCGGTCGCCGACAGCGCCGAGGCCGGGCTGCGCCGTCACCAGACACCGCTCTGCCGTCGACACCTAGCTGGGCCGCGGCTAGCGTGGTGTCCCGCCCGGCCCGGCCGCTGGAGTGCTGCGGCGAAGCTAACCACCAGCCACTGCTCCAGCTGCTGTATACAGCCACTGCAATATAGTTTGCGCACCAGAGACACTGCTTGTCACTGATGAATCGCGGACAAACTTCGCTAGCAACCAGAGGTTACGAAGGGATTAAGCCTATAGATTAGACCTATATATCTCAGGTAGCTATGGAGAAAGGTCCAGCGTTCCATGCCGATTCAGATGACATCGCTACCATTCCTTGGCATGCTCCGGTTTACACAGATGTAAGGTTGCAAAGTTTTGGCCTGTGATACAGGCCCAATGACAGGCGCGCACCACCTGCTAGTACACTCGTTATGATATCGTTTTGGTCCATGGTGTGACGGCCAAAGACGCAACGAAAAATGTAACAGCATGTCGGATGTTCTGCTTTGTTTGGGAGGACTTCATAGTGGAACTATAAATTGTACCTTGCTGGGGGAGGGGGGAGGGATTAACTATAGTACTGCAATACAAGGTCGGGGCAAAGGGCCGACTGGGGAGGCGCCAACAAAGGAAGAGCTAGCCGCTCACCATGGCGCTAATGTTCAATGGCATAGATGCGATGGTCAGTCTTCTATTCCGTCAGGACCTGTCGGTCTTGTAACTGGCAACGTCTGGATCTGGATACGGTCTGTAACGGGCAACGTCTGGATCCGGATACGGTTTACATCTATTTTTTCAGCTTTTTGTTTGGACTTTGGACACTCACCTTCCTATTGTTTGTGTGATGGAGGAAGTGATGCCTGATCTGATAGCTCAGTCAGAGATGTAAAACAAACTATGTCACACAACTCCTCAACAACTGGTCTTGTCGTTCATCCAAAAGTGTAATGTTCTAGCCGTGAGCGAGACCACTAGACAGGGCAGACGGCTGCTTCCCGGTGAGGTGCGCCAGCTCGCGGCCTTTGGCGGATGCCTCGCCGCCTCTCCTGGGTCGGCTTCACCTTTTCAGAGTCGGCGGCCGCAAATGGGGTCGTATTTTCGAGCGAGTGCGGCCCGACGTCGGCCTTCCGGCGGCTGGAGGACGTCGCAGGCGGGATTTCTCCGTCGTCCGCGGCCACAGGTGCACGCAAACACGTGCCGGTAAACACGTTTACGGGAGCGCGCCGGTCAGGCCTGACGCTGGCCGGCGAGGGTGGCCGGCCGGCGTTGGCGCTCGGTCGGACGGCTCGTGCTCCCTCGCGGCCCACCAGCCACCGCCGCGTGGCCCGTCTGACGCATGCCAGCCGGTATGTCTTCAGTCAGAAGTCGCGGCATCCCGCGATCAGCGGGAGCCAATTGGACTGAGCTGGAATTTTTCACCGGCGCTGGGAGCAGAGCGGAGACAGTGCCCATATATCCGAGTGTCGGCCGGCGGCGCCATCTTGTCTGCTGACGGCGGGCGGCGGCTGTTGTGGCGCGACGGCGCGGCGGAGGGGCGAGTCCGACACGCTGCAGGGCACGCGGCGCGCGGCGGAGCGCCACGCAATCTCGGCACACCATCTGGTCACGCACCACGCCGAGATGACGTCACCAGATTGGGCTGGGCTTCACATTCAGCGAGTCATAAGTGTTGTAAGGATTCTGTGCATTGCACTGATGATATCATTGTTTGTTGTTGGTCTAAGCCAGCAGACGTATGTGTGTGGGCCCCTGAGGACGGAGTTGAAAAGGGCATGGCGACTGATAAGCCAATGTCTAGAGCACACCTGTCTGAGTGTCGTACTCTAGATCGGCCGATGTCTAGAACACACTTGCCTGAGTGTCGTGCTCTAAATCGGCAATGTCTAGAGCACACTTGTCTGAGTGTCCCAATTGCTAGGTCGGCCAATGTCTAGAGCACACTTGTCTGAGTGTCCGACTCTTGAGCAGTCAACGTCTAGAGCACACTTGCCTGAGTGTCGTACTCTAGATCGGCCAAAGTCTAGAACACACTTGTCTGAGTAGTCGTAATCTAGATCGGTCAATGTCTAGAGCACACCTGCCTGAGTATCGTGCCAAGGGTCCGCGTTCTCCTGCAAGAGTTGAGCAGGAGAGGGGTCCGTCCGTCATTCTGTCCGTCCTTCCATCCCTCCGTGCGTTCGTCCTCCAGTCCGTCCCTCCGTCTGTCGATCTGTCTGCCTGCCAGGTTGCCTGTCTGCCGGCCTGTCTGAGCGTGGATATGTTCGTCTGCCGAGCTGTCCGTCCGACGGTCCGCTTACCTTTATTGTCTGTATAATACTTGCTGTTTAGTAGTTTTTTTCTGCGCATGGGCACTGCTTGCTTGAAATCAAGGTTTTGGTACAAAAAGCCTGAGGGCTGTGGCAAGCAGGGCTATTCTTGCTTTCCTCCGCCTTCTCTTCATTTAGTTAACGCTTACTTTGCTCTACATTGCTGTCTATTCAAGCTGATACGTTGACGTGATTGTCTAATGTCGTAGTTCCAGCGAAGTTCAGCGGTCCGCAGATGTGCGACGACTAAGAAAGCGCTGCCTTGTTATGTTTAACATGCCAGGGAATGGGTTTATGGTTCAGTTTGGCAAAACTCTGCGCACTCGGCCTCATCCTTGCCTATTCTGAAGGCATGATATAAGCTGGCAGAACAACCTTTGCTCCCATATATTCCAATGTCTGCTCTACATCAAAGGAAGCTTACGATGAACGGCAACAATGCCTGTTAAGCCAGGTATGTCGGTATGTGTTGGTATGTATCGGTAAACGAGGCATGTCATGTCGTGACATTGCGTGACACGTCAACATTCTTTGACAAAAATTGACCAAACGAATGGCTTTACTCTGCCGGTGGTGAAGTTAAAGCCTTCACAAGTAGCTCTGTTTAGCCAGGATGAAAGCCCCAAAGTTATCTCTGCAAAATATTCGGCCCAATTTCCAGGGCAAAACAACTGAACGATGGAAAACACTTGCATCCGGTTAAAATGGCATCAACTTTACTAGGCTCCACTTCTGAGCGCATGACCTTGAGGGGTGCAGCTGGGAGGGGCACTTTCATTCCAACTAACCTGCGACGTACAGCAGTGGGGGCTACGGACCTTGACCTTTGGCGTGCATATGACAGAAATACGGTGCGGCCGCTGGTCTCTGCCGTGCATTTGGGAGTGGGACGCGTCTGACCTGTGGCGTACAGCTGGGTGCAGTCTCCTGTAGTATTCTTCACCAGGTCCAGTTGAGGCAGCTCAATGTGGTCCACGACCAATGGCACCTTCGGGTCCCATACAAATACCAGGTCGTCCGTGGTGTAGGAAACTGTGGACAAACAAAGACATTCGGGTTTGTTTCCTGGCGTGAAGTTTTAGGTTAACTGTGGGCACATCGGGCCTCTGGCCGGCGGAATTTAAAGCAAATGAGAGCCCGGTCGTCTGAAAGAAGTTGTTCTGCCCCGAAATGGGCGCCAAATGACCACTGCAGTCGGCGCGCTCGAAAACACCAATAAACAGCAACGAAGCTCCGCACCTGAATGCATGCAGTGTTCTGCACACCTTCTGAAATGAAAGAGTTGCTCTGCGTTTTTATGACATCAATATGGAATCCGCCTGCATTTGGCACAAACATTAACACCGTATTCGTATTTTAAGGACGAGTTCATATTTGCGACTACCTAACCACAGTTTTGACTCCAACTGATAATCTCTTCTGTCTCTCTGTGTCGTTTGTCTCCCTCCGTGTCAGCCTTTATCGGTGTCCGGTGTCTGCCTCTATCTGTGTACGGTGTCCGCCTCTCTGTGCATGCTGTTCACCTCTCTCTCTCTCTCCTCTCTCTCTCTCTCTCTCTCTCTCTCTCTATCTTCTCTCTCTTCTCTTCTCTCTCTCTCTTTACTCTCTATCTATTCTCTTCTCTCTCTCTCTATATCTCTCCTCTTTCTCTTTCTCTCTATCTCTCTCTTCTCTTCTCTATACTCTCTTCTAGCTCTCTATCTGTCTTATCTCTCTCTATCCTCTATCTCTCTCTATATCTCTCTCTCCTCTCTATCTCTCTCTCTCTCTCTCTCTCTCTCTCTCTCTCTCTTCTCTCTCTCTCTCTCTCTCTCTCTCCTCTCTCTCTCTCTCTCTCTCTCTCTCTCTCTTCTCTTCTCTCTCTCTCCTCTCTCTCCGCTCTCTCTCTCTCTCTCTCTCTCTCTCTCTCTCTTCTCTCGCTCTCTCTCCTCTCTCTCCTCTCTCCTCTCTCTCTCTCCTCTCTCTCTCTCTCTCCTCTCTCTCCGGCGCTTGCCTCTCTGTGTCCAATGGCGTCGGGCCTGGTTGGCGGGCCCCTGGCCGGCCGTGGCCGGTGTAATGACTCGTGAATTATCAGCGGATAACGGGGTGTGTATGCGAGGCAGGCCGACCGCCGGAGCCGAGGCCGGGG